CATGCAAGGCTATGGGACACTATAGAACTACCCTGCTCTTTGTCCATAAGAGAAGAGGATACATACCTTTCCCAAGTACGTAACTCAATGTAATGAATTCGACTGGGATTCGAATTCAGTCCGAGTCGATATTCGTCATTCCACTCTGCCTCCTATACATACACTATACATAAATGGTTATATCTCTCTCGTATGTGAGATCTGTTTTGATTTTTTGGAAAGTCTCATATTTCAAGCAATTTTTCTTTAATCCTAAAGTTTAATGTACACTACAAAATAACAGCCATTTATTTGACACCGTCTGATATTAAGAAATCTCCGACAGACACGTTCAAGATATTATCTAACAATCGACATATAGATGCATGCATAATAAGGCCAGTTTCAATAGATTGTATTTTCATTGTTCGTTGTTTTTTGGCTTTTACCATATTCCACCCTAACACACTTTCCTTTTTCCATCTGTAAAAATATAAACGTAGGTGAAGGCTAAAGGAATGCTCATATATAACAAAATGTACCTGTGCATTCGACTATGAATTGGCGCCAATAAATTCTACACGGAGAGACATTAGATACATTGTTATTTCTGTTTGCATTGTGCTTTTCCTCATGGATTTTTTTTTCCGAGAATGAGCTGAATAACTCAATGTTCTTTTGGAGTAAATGGATTCGATGAACTGAGCCGGATAATTGTGATTTCGAACTTTTTCTGAATAATTCAATCCAACAAGAAAGCGAGCAAGGTGAAGAATTTGAAAAGGCATAGTGTTACTTACAAAAGGAAATGTCGGACAAGGTCAGATATATTTCGGGTCACTTGTCTAGATGGTCGGACGTTAGGTCCATTTGGATATATTCTTGTTTGATGGAAAACACTCCCCATGGCTTGGATTAATTCCGGCCTTTTGGGCTCTCGTGGGTAGACGATATAATAGTCAGAAAAAGAAATCAGAAAGCGAAAAATCAGAAAAGATTTCTATCTACGTGAGGTCAACATGTAATCGTTTGAAAATGGAAAGACGATCGTAAGTGCCTAAGCGGTATATATATATATATATATATATATATATATATATATATATATATATATATATATATATATATATATATATACAAGTATGTACATTTGTGTGAGAGGGGCATGTTTTTTGTGTATGTACATCTGTAAAAGGATAGACAACAATTATCATGAAATGATCCTGATTAGGAAAGTTTACCATGCACTCACTTACAGCTCTCTTCTTTGAAGCGAACAGCCAGACTACCCACATATTATTTGAAAATAGTGGCGAAGAATTATGCAAAATAGACTACACCTTTACTCAAAAATCAAAATGCACAAAACGAGAGTATATAGTATGCCACCAACTCTCCCACTGACACTGTTCAGGTTTTGAGTCTAGAATTGTCTTTCTCCTAGACTCGTTTTGAAAAAAAGGCGAAACAGTTCCGTCTGCCATACTTTGTAAACCATATTATAATCCATGCACATAAATGAATTTAACGGACCCATGAATTTACTATATTATTAAATATAGTTACTTCATCCACCTGAAAAAAAGATTGATAATAACGGAAGCTTTAATAATAAAATAGAAAAAGGCAACTCTTAAGAATATTAACTACGAACAAAGCTACAATGTGCTAACCGTATCCGGAAATTAAAAACATCTCTACAACACACTAAAACATACACATAATGCACATATTCAAATAAGCTGAAATATTGAATCATCCTCGATAATGGCTAAAGCGTTCGGAAATATAAAAAATTTCGACGGTTTTTACACACTCTTTGTCCAGAAAAGAAAGCTCTTGTTCGAACACAAAAAATTAAAGAAAAAATTATCGTAGTACATTGTCTGTTGTTTTTTATATATATATATATATATATATATATATATATATATATATATATATATATGTGTGTGTGTGTGTGTGTGTGTGTGTGTATATATATATATATATATGCGTGTGCGTGTGTGTGTCTGTGTGTGTGTGCGCGCGCGTTTGTGTGTGTATTGAGTGTATAAGCATTGTATCGACTTAAAGTATGAGCTTCATGCTAGAAGACCTTTAATGACATTCTAAACTAAGTAAATGTAAGCATACGGACTGTAAATAGACACGATAACTATTGAAGCATATATTATCGTAAAGTTAATGGTTTAATTAACCATTCCCATACATGAAATGTTCGACATCTACTCAACAACCAATTTGATTTTTTGTCGTTTGAACTTTATGAAATAAATTTACAAAAATTTTTATTCCGTAAATTAGATTTCTTTAGTTCAGGAAGTTATCACTAATTCTGATTAAGATGGAAGTTTTATTTTCAAAGTTTTTGTTTTCTTACTATACACACACACACACACACACACACACACACACACACACACACACACACACACACACACGCACACACACACACACACACACACACACACACACATATATATATATATATATATATATATATATATATATATATATATATATATCGTTATCACCTTAGAAGATCAATCAACATTTCTCAATTTAATATTCTTCTTCCTTTCTGGACTTAGACTATCATTCCTCTCCGTAACATCCTGTCCTTTGTAGCTCTTAATAAATATTATCTTTTGTTATACTTCCTAAACCATGTTCTGCCATCCATTTTCTCAAGCTCACTAGTTTTATAATGCATTTTTTTCATCTCTTTTCTTGTCTTCAGTTAGTCCTGTGGGAGGCAGATTTCCCTAAACTATATTTCCTCATTATATGCCATACAACGTTCAGCTGCTTCTCCCTGATGTTAAGTATTAATATTTGTTGAAATGTTCTTGTTTTTTCGATTCATGGCATCCTCGTTATCCTTATTTAGAACCACATTTCTCATGCTTCAATTCAAGCAATGTCTGTCATACAGGGGTCCATATATCACGTAAGAGTTTAGTAGTATTTTCTTTGCTTCTGAAGAAGATTTTGTTCTATGTTATAATATTCAGCTTAGTTCTGGAATGAGTATTCGGCTACCAAAATAAGCTTTTTGGTATCTCAGATTTGCAAATCGCCTTTTGAGCTCATCAATTTTCTAACAACAAATGTATTCTGTCTTCTTACAGTTGGTGTTTACAGTGTCTTCTCGCTTTCCTTCCGTACCACCTGAAAGAGATCTTTGTAGTTTCCTTTTCGTGTCTACAGTCAAAACTGTCATTTGCATATCTTATGTTGATTGTTTGTGGTTATATTATTTACAAGACGTATACGTCTATTTCCATTAAATAAAGTTTTATTTTCCTCAGAAAAATAATGTTAAGAAATCAGTTTTTATCTCAGTGACAGCCATGTATCATGTCTTCTTTCAAATGATGGTTATCCATTGTTATCGCTTTCCGTTATTTTCTAGGAGATCTTGAATTTATCAATATGTGTTTGTTATCAACACAGTGTCAGCTGTGCATATTATATTGTTAGAATATCACACACCGTGTTCAATTAGAATAACCATTCTGTAGAGAGAAAGTAAAACTGTGAGAAGGGATATGATTTACAACCCTTTTTATTTTTGTCAACTGATTGAGTTCATTATCGATTTGTACGCAAAATGATTCCATTCAATATTAGTTCATAATTATTCTAACTTCCTTAAAAAATTAACAGAGTTTTCCTTGAATTCCAGACTGATCGCTGTACCTATTCTATCAAATGTTTCCGTAGACAAAAAAATTAAGTGTGTACACGAAATTATTCAGATCAGAAGGAAATTTCTGAAATGTTTATAAAAAATCAGAAAAAAAAATTCAAATAGACGCATCGCACCTCGATTACGCCAGGATAATAATTGCCCACATCACTACACTAAGAATTTCTACAAAACGCCCCATTTTTACATCAATTCTGACGAAGACTTAAAAAGTTGAAATAGTGGATGAAACATCGACAATTTTCGATGGAATTCTCTCCGCGATAGACTTTTTTTTTCATTTGAAAAGGTAATCAATAAAATCAATCAATACAAAACGTCTGTTTTATTGAAAACACACACACACATGTACATATATGTCCTATATTTATCTCATATATATCATACATATATTTTGTCAGATAATTATCTTATATATATATATATATATATATATATATATATATATATATATATATATATATATAAGACAAATATATTGTGAATATGTATATGATAAATATATATATATATATATATATATATATATATATATATATATGCAAGTGTTCGTATTGATTGTAGATTATAGGTGAATAGCAATCTCATTTTTCTATATTTCTTTTTATTAATCTCTCTCCTCTACACATGCACACACAAAGCCATATATATATATATATATATATATATATATATATATATATATATATATATATATATATATATGTACAAACTTAAATATATATATATATACTAATATATACAAACATATATATATATATACACACAATGATTCATACAAACCTATATAAACGCATCTATATACACACATATACTAAAATTCAAGTACAAACACATGCATCACACTGACACTTACGCACACACACGCTTTATATATTTAACTAACTATCTATCTACATATATATATCTCTCTCTCTCTCTCTCTCTCTCTATATATATATATATATATATATATATATATATATATATATATATATATATATATATATGTGTGTGTGTGTGTGTTTTATATATATATATATATATATATATATATACATTCATCTATTTATTCGTGTTTGTTTAAATTCCAGTAACAGAAGATGGTGTTGGTAACATTATATCTAAGTCTTTATCTCTCATATACCTACATATATATATATATATATATATATATATATATATATATATATATATATATATATATATATATATATATATATATACATTACATTTGTGTGTGAGAGGGGCATGTTTTGTGTGTATGTACATCTGTAAAAGGATAGACAACAATTATCATGAAATGATCCTGATTAGGAAAGTTTACCATGCAGCCGGATGTGATGAGCTATTCTTGACTGGGCATGAGAAGGGAGATATATTTGCTGCCTGGCCAGACAGCGGCAGACACAAAGGAAAAAACATCTTGGTCAGAGGTCATCGGTGTTCTTTCCACTCGACTAGTGGAACCCGCGTCTCGAGACTGCAGATTATGATCACCGCGTTGCGTTCGGCTGATCGCTTCGCTAAATTCGCTGATCAGCCTTGCGTGAGCGCTAACATCTTCAAGGGGCGATAAACACACAAGTAGTAGAAGAGAATCTCTACACCTTTGATTGACTTGTCTTATTTTCATCTTTTAGAAGTTTGCTTTTGCGTTTTATACCATCAATGTGTTGGTCTATGCGTGGGTGTGTTTTCGCGTGTAGGAACGTATATGAGTGTATTATCCTTGAGAATTAGCAGTAGATGTAAAGGTCAACACTCCATTGAAGTGTTAACGATCTCCGAAGTAAAAACAACTCTGCAGGCAACGTAAGATTTATTTATTTTCTTCGCATTTATTTTTCTTTGTTTACATTCTTTTCTTTTGTGTCGATATATTTTCATACCTTGTTCTTTGATCTTATTTTACATCTTATTTCTGACAGGCTTGCCTTTTGATACACATTTTCTTTTTTCTAAGTTTCTGACTTACTGACTGACTTCTTAAATATTTTTTCCCTTTTTCCATTCCATTCTGTTTAAAAATTTATTACGTATTTTTATCCACAAAATTTAATAGATTGTAATATTCGACCAGAAGAGCAATGCATCTGTTTATGCTATGCATTGCTGTTGTATAAATATTTCCCTTCTGTTCAGTGATTTTCCTCTTATAGTTTCACCCTTTCCAATATTTACAATACCTTCATGTTATGAAGTAAAACCGAAAAACATGAAACAATTCTTTTGAAATCAAATTTCCACTTCAAGTTCGTTACCCTACTTGCCGAGTAACAAATAGGTTATCCTCTTACACTCTATCTGGTGAAAGGAAAGACGAAAGTTGTCTTGCAAGCAAGTTTCTGGGTATTTTTTAAAAATGCATTTCCGTCCTAGATCGTTTTGCTTTTCTCGATAATCTCAACATATCATTATTATTATTATTATTATTATTATTATTATTATTATTATTATTATTATTTTCTTTGATTTCTGGCGTTTACACATTTGTTTCCGGGTCCCGCCCAGGGACCTAAGGTTAGAAATGACACCATGAATCTTTCCGCTGACAAAAAAAATTACATAGATAAAGCCCTTCGTAAAGTGTGGACTGTACTTGTCAGAACAATTTTTTGTATCTCCTTGAGGCATGAACTTCCAGGAATCCCTCCAATTAGTCTACTGCAATCTTTTCCAACCAGTCCTAGGGCTCCAACTACAACAGGGATTGTTGATGTTCCCATATGCCACATTTTCGAGATTTCTATTTCAAGGACCTTGTATTTTGACAGCTTTTTGAATATCTTCAAAGATACATTGCAGTCAGCAGGGACTGCCATATCAATAAGGAGGCACCGTTTTTGTTTGTGGTCTTTAATAACAATATCTGGGCGGTCGGCTTTGCTTATTCTGTCAGTGTGAATTGTGTAGTCCCACAGAATTGTAACAGGTCATATCTCCGTAACCAGGTCTGGTTGGTGTTCATACCAGTTTCTTTCAGTTTTCTTTCCGTAGAAATTGCAGATTTTCCAGTGCAGATATTGACCCACTCTGTCATGCCGTGTTTTATATTCAGTGGCTGCCAATATCGTGCAACCTGATTCAAGATTCAAGATTTTGTTATTATTATTATTATTATTGGATATTTTGTTATTATTATTATTATTATTATTATTATTATTATTAAAATTTGTGTCTGCTGTGTTTTCTGTTTTGTATCCTGTAGAGCCGGGTCCAAACTGTGGCTCTTAGCCCCTATAGTAGAAATGTTATTTAATTGATAGCACATTTCTTACTATATAATATGTTCTTAGTAACTCAGTCCTCTGGACAACTTTAATGTTGATATTACCTGCGTCACTATTAGTACAATAGTCTAAACATTTTTTCACGAAGACCTGAGCTCCGATTGCTATTCATAGTCTCAGTCTTCATTCACTACATCCTGTTCGATAATTTTCGTGGAGGTGTTTCTCTCAGATGGTAATACTATGTCAATAATCGTAAAAGAGAAGAATTTCTTGAAGATACACTTCCTGAAATTCTTCTCTTTTATGATGATATCATGTCTGTTGGCTTTTATTTCACGGTCAGTTTGAACTAGTATATCCCAAAAGAATAGTTACATCGATATTTTGGCTAACTCTTGTTGGTGCTCATACCATCCCTCAGTGGTTCGATTTTGTACTTCTTGCATATCTTCCAATGCACATATACCGCTACCGTTTATGTCTGTGGGTATATTAACTTTTTGCTAGTTCCGGACGTCCTGAAATAATATGGTCAACATTTTCATTATATTTCAGGTTACTTCTATTCTTGATTATGTGAGAGTGATAGGATCTGGTTGCGAGACTTTGAACATGATGAATAATTAGACCTTCTGTCTCATCTTTCAACCCAGGGATCCTCATCCTCTAATGTTTTTTCTTAGTCCACATCTTCTTCTTTTTTTTTTTTTTTTTTTTTAGTTATTTGCCACGAAATGCCTGGTTCACCTTTCTTTTTCAATTTCATTTAGCTACGTTGTTCTGCTTTCTTTTTTATTCGTTTGCCTTAAATGAATATTCGCTTGTTTTTTTGTTTTTTTTTGGTGGTATTGTTTCAAGTATATTAAATTGATTTTTCAAGAGTGCGGCTTCTTTGTTGATGTAATGCATTTGATGTTTTTACCATTTGCAGAAGAGGGTCATTGGTTTGTGCGCTTTCAATCCGATTGTTGTTGTTCTTAGGGTTAGTACAAGCTGGATTAGATCTCAGCCTATCAACACCTGATTTTGCCAAGTGCATTCTTATTTGGGTAAGCATTTTTATGGTCTTGGCGTCCAATCATTTAATGTAATTCAACTTCCATTTAATCATGTCGAAGCAGTATGTTACTAATATGTTGATAGCCTTATTTTTTATTGTCCCAGTTATGTTTGCTTTCTAGTATCAAAAGCTCTCTCTTTGCAGAATTCTTTCTTCATAATTAAATGTTGTATTTTGTCTCCGTCATTAATTCTTAAGTATTTGTATATACAATCTTAATTCCTTAATTCTGTTGCTGATATCAATGTCTAAATTTATAGGTTTCATTAGATTACCGCCCTTGAAGTAGGATTTTGCACACTTGTCGATTCTGAACATCATCATATTGTATTCGCTGAATGTTTTGACAATGACGAATAGGTTTTGTTTTGTTATTTTTCTGCTGGATGTCATCTTGACAAACGTTTTATGATCACCAATATAGAATAAGTGATTCAGCTTACCATTCTGTGACATGTATCCGTAGCAACTGTTGTTTTGCAGGCAGATGTGTGGCGCTAATGCATTGCAGAAGAGTAGGGGTAACAATGAATCTCCTTGGAAGATCCAGCTTTTGAGGTTGTTTGTCCTCGATGTTAATGACACGTTTGTATGCTTTAGATTTAGCGTAGTGTTCCAGTATTTCATGCTTCCCTTAATCCATATTGTCGTACACTGTTGGACACCTTTTTGTAGTTCTACTTCTTCTTGTTATTATTATTATTATTTTACTTTTAGTGCGTTAAATGCAATTTGATTAATATGACGACAGGCATATTTTAATAATAATAGTAAATCATTGAATCGACAATCCACTCCATTGAAATAATCAGCAAAGAAAGAGTTTGGTTACCATCACTTCATATGATAAAGCCAATAAACCTATTGTGCAAACATGTAACGCTGTATAACAAATATTGTTAACAGATAGACCACTAGAAAACATCATAGATGTAAATATTATCATTTATGAAGCAGGTTTAGTAGGTACTTGAGAAAATATGAAGATAAATAAAAGCTTAAACAACAGACAATGGAAGACACGATTCAAGAAAGAATTTGAGTAAATCAGATGTGAGTTATCGATAATAGATGAGAATTCAAGAAATTCTTATATTTCAACACGGGAATACAAAATGATCGAGCAGAAATTTAAAATTAAAGTAGTAAATGAAATTCCACCAATCAGTGAAATATTTCAACAGAAACTGCATTGAAAGAAACAGCGGACATGTTGATTCGAAAGGCGTGGTAGATTCTATCAACAAAATAAGATATTCCAAGAGGGCTTCATGCAGTTTTACAGCAAAATTGGGAAAACAGTTGTAGAAGGCAAAAAGCAACTATCTATTGAAGATGTGCCATCATCTTTGGAGTAGGTTTCGATCAACCAGTGCAGAGTGGATTAAACATGAACACGAATGTATGAAGAATAAACCTGAATGGGAAAATATGCCCAACTCTCGGCACCACCATTGTCATCAATCCATAAAACAATTGCACAAACTTTATCAATCCTAATTAATAACTCCAATGTAATTCCAGAATGGATATTTGATGGTAACACTTGTCCTAAACAAAACGTGCGAAAAAGATTATCTAAACAATTATAGGCAAATACATCATCTGTCCGCCGCATATAAATTGATCACATCTGTTCTGACAAAGTTTCTCGATGAATACAACAATGAATCAGAATATGTTCATAAGGTTGCAAAGATGAACTACAGATAAATTAAATGATCCTGAAAAATTGCAGGAAGCAAGGTAGAAATCCTAGCACACTTCCTATAGATTACTGTATAACCTTCGATTATGTGCCACACCCTTGGATACTTAAGGCTTCCGAAAGATATAAAGACTCCTCGCTGATAGAAAATTTCCTTACATTTTGCATGGAAATTATGAAAATTACTATAGTAAAATCACACCAAAGGTACAGACGCTTCCATTTGTTTGACTATCCGACGAGGAAACATTGAAGGAGACTCCTTGTTGCCCCTTTCGTTCTGTCTGTCCATAATCCCACTATCGCAATTATTAACAGGAATAATAAAGTTAAAAGAGGGGGGTAATAATCTCTTTTATATGGATGATATCAAACACTTTGCCAAAGAAAAAATGAGTTGAAGAGTATCTTCAATATTATC